AAACTAAACTGAAGAATCGTGTTGTGTCAGTGCTTTTCTGAGAGTGGTGTTCTGTATTGATCAGCTATTAAATCATGGTGCTAATTTTTCTCTTACGTTAAAGAGTGCTTTAGATATTTTTTCAATGCACTCATCGTGTTTTCAAAAGTTCCTTCGTACCTGCACCAGTTCTAGTCGGAAATTTGGATTTATTGTCTTCAAGTGGATTTTTCTGACCCAGTGGATTACAGATTTGAACAAGTTGGTGAGTGTTGTTTGTTCATTTTCTATTTTACTGAGCATGTCTGCATGGTCCAAATATCATGTGTTCCCATTGGGACGCTTGTCTCCTTTGTCTTGATTCTAAGATTTATTTAATTTCCATGAGCAATTTGGATGGTACTGAAACCATCTTGTGATCATTTTTATGCAAATGGTTTTGTTTCCATGAAAAATTGTCACGGAAATGATTTCGTTTCCATGACAAATTTTCACGGAAATGATTTCGTTTCCATGAAAAATTTTCATGGAAATAAGCCACATGGAAATCAGCCACACGGAAATCAGCCACATGGAAATATTTCCTGTTCCATTTTTCCGTGTCATTTTTTCATGGAAATCAACTTCATGGAAATCATCCACACGGAACATTTTTAGCAGGGATCATTGAAACCAAATGGTTTCATATTGTCTCGATCGTCCTTGATGTCCATGAAATAGGAACTAACCTAACATTCGTGATTTGTTTTGTTTTGTTGTTCCGCTCGTGAGTTGATGACGTTGATGACTGCAGAGAGCACTAACACTGTTACTCTACCGTGTGTATGTGTTAGTGAAGTCGGGATTCATGATTTTCGAGTTGCTGTCCAAGATACAGCCTAAACGGTAAAAGTAAACCCCAACTTATGTAAAATATTTGGAATCCTCATATCTTCAAGATGATTCCTGGAAATAACCATAACTTCATTCCAGAGTAGTGTAAGCGAGAAATTCAATGATAAGCGTCGGCGGGTCGGGTCGCCCATTGCACCCGAAAAGCAGTTTAGACGCAATTTTTTTCTTAGGATGCCTTGGATATTAATGAAACTAAAATGCACACTACACGGGAAGAAGACAATTCTTTTGATATAACATTATATAGGGCTCTGATGTCTCGTATTCTCTATAGCTTGTATAGAACGTGAAAATGGTCAAAGTGGATACTTTTCGCTATTTTAGGCATATATGCGTAATTATCTCGTTTAATAAATCATCAACCTCCTTGAAACTCAACAGTTCGTTAGACGGGATCAAGACGCATCTCTAGACACCAAAATTTCTAAAATCCGTCGCTCCGTTGCTTTTAAAAGTTTACGGGACCGCAACTAAAAACCCAAATAAGCCAAGTTCTTGTAACTATGGTGTCGTTGCCTCGACCGGGCTGTGCTGTGTTGCCAATTGTTGGAGGATAGGTTACTTGCCCGGTGGTGGGTACCGCCACTCATGATTCAAAACTTAAAGTGACGGAAAAAGTACCGTCACAGGGGGGAGACAATTGAATTCGGAAGAAATTTATTTTTTTTGCGCGCACCTATACGTAGTATACCGCCTTTTCGATCGTTTCGACCCTTCACTCGATACAATGACCGAGTCCCTTAGTTCCTTACCGGAAAGTGACTACCGCGAACTTCTGAGATTTTCCAAAGTGTACGCGCCTCTAGCGCGTAATCTCTGCTGCCGCGCCGGGCCGTCTAGCGCACAGCTAATCGCGCCGCGACGCCGGCCGCGGCCAGCTTCAGCGGCGCTGCCCTAGAGAGCGCTCGCGTCGCCAAGATGTTTTTAAGTTTTACTAAGGTCATTTTATTTTGTTTTAGAAAAGGAAAATAATAAGTTTTTTGGTTCCCACAGTTGTAAATAAATGTAAATAAAGCAAAGAAGGTTTCAAGGTTAAAGGTGTTTAAGTTCTTTTCTAAGAAGTGTTTTTTGTTCTCCAACTTCCTATGCCGGGCGCGGGATTCCGATTTACCCAGGTCCTAGGTGCACGCCAATACAAGTGCCATTTCATCGCCATTCAGCTAGCAACAGTTTACGGCTCCACAGCTCCAAGGTGCGCCCGGCAATTCAGTGCTCACAAGGTAAGATTTCCCCGGTACGCCCGGTGTCACAGGTAATTCCCCGGTACGCCCGGTGTATTAGTTTGTAAGCCCCGGTTCGCCCGGAGAAGTTTAGATAGGGACCCCGATTCGCCCGGAGAGTAGTTTAGGGACCCCGGCTAGCCCGGTGAACTGCAGAGTAGGGACCCCGGCTCGAGCCCGGTGTTAGATAGGAACCCCAGCTCAAGGGAGCTGAAGCCAGGCCCGCGCGCTCTTGGTAGCTTTTCTCATCTTTAAGGTAAATTAGGGACTAAGGCCCCAACACAAAGCGTGTAAAAAGTTTACCAATCCGTCAATAATAATGATTTAAAGTTGTTTCTCATTCTGGGGCTTTCTAGTTTATGTGTAATGTATACCAAGAGCCCACGTTACCTGGTTTTCTTAAATTAACCTAAGAATGCTCCGCGCTTATTTAAAATATGCATATATAAGCAGAAGCAAACGAACTGATTCGAGGATTGCTGAGCAAGTCGGCACTCTTCGAATGAGAATGTCGCTCTTCCGTTTTGTTTAAAACGTTGCATAGACAGATATGTACACCCCTATTATGCTTTTCAAAATTTGGTACCACTGCTCTGAAAGCCTGGGCCGGTCAGGACAACCGTAAGTGCAATCTGTGATGAGCCTCAAAACTCATAAGACCATGTGCTAACCATAACACATACAGAAATCAATTTGGTTTTACAGAAATCCACTAACCCTTCTCCTCCCCGCACACCGGACCTCTGTGTCGAGACCGAGGCAGTTTCTATTGTCCTCCAAGCGACCCGACCCGGACTCTTTTACGCTTGATTAACCATTTCACCGTCACGCTAGGATTCGCCCGATTTTCAAAAAACAAATTGTTTCGCGTGTACTTAGCAATTTTTTCCCTACTCTCCGTTAAAAGACGAATAAGGAGAGGTCTTATTCATAAAAATCGGCTGAATAGAAGAGAAGTTACAGCATTCGAAATCCGAAGAAATGAAATGAAGGGAAAAAAAGAAATGTATGAATTACAATTGAATAGAATTGACCTCAGAATTTGAAAAGCAATTCAATTATAAAACGGAGAAAAAATAGGGAAAAATTACAAAAAATTCGCCTCTTGCAAGGCGATTCCCTGAAAGAATTTTGACCTGAAGACAAGGGTTCAATAGCAGCAGTACTCCATACAATACATGGTGTGCCTGAACGCACATTTTTTTTGTCAAAATCGAAAATTCTTTATATTTTTTAACTACAGTGTCTCTTGAGTCGTTTAAGCCAAAAAAAAAATTCTGTCAACATTCTGGAATGTAAAGACGCTTTAAAAGTATTCTGAGGCTGTAATAGCTAAATCACCGGTCGTGAATCCCGTTATATTATTAAAACGAAATCGACTCCATAGTTTAATGCCTTAGTTTCTTGAATATGATTATTTTAAGCACTCAAACATTTATACCACCAATTTTAGGTGTGTGGTGATTTCCTGAGAGCCGATAATATCACCAATTTCTCATAGAACTCTTCAACAGTGGCTTGCTTTTTTGGCAGCCGATTTGGACATCGAGCTGGGGTTTAAATGGAAGCTGATAATAACCCAAAGCTCTGAGAAAAATTTTGAGATGAGTATAAGAACGGTTTATTGTAAGTAACGAGGAGAGGCAGGCAAAGCGGCTAAAATCGATACGTACGTATTTTTACACGTAGAATCTAATTTTCACGTCAGGGAGTCGAATCATTTCGATTTTTTCGATTTTATACGGAAATTAAATGGATGGTTTTTCGGAATTGAAATTATTATTGTTTCATGAAAAATCAATGCACCCAAAATGACTATAGCATATTGATTTTTACATATTTGCACTCACAAAATTGGTTGGTAAATTCAACGAGTGGGTGCATCAACCTGGTATAGGTATCAAGTTTCTGCAATTTTTTACGGCAAATCAGTAGATTTTCGGGATGTAGATTGCTCAATTTCAATTCATGAATGAATAAAGCATGGGCATGGATGGACTTCTTTGCGTGGAAATACGTTTAAAATAACAAAATCAAGACATATTCAATGCATTTGCTGTTGTAATGTTAGAAAGTATCATATAGATATGGCAACCATGGATCATGTGACCAGGTCAAACCCCACTCCTCACTCACACTCATACAAGATGTCCGACCATGCAAGTTCTTGAATAAACAGGTGTATTCTCGTAAATGTCTTTATTTTATGTTTCATCAAAAGTCCTTTAAAAATCAAGATAAAACATGGCGCAGTCGAATGTATTTACGTGCCGAAAGTGTTTTGAAAGCCAATAGTGAAAGCCAAAGTTATTGAAAGTGAAATATCGTATCAAGTGCAAACGTGACTGTGAACAGTGAAAGCCTATTCTGAAGCCTAAGGTGAAGCACATGCAAATTTGAAAACTGTAAGTTTTGGATATCTTACAATTATGGAAGTTTGTTCTAAACCAAAACCGTTGAGCGTCAAAGGTAACCTCAAAGAAAACTGGAAGAGGTTCAAGCAAGAATTTGAAGACTTGCTAGTCTCAATGGAATGGGACTCAAAATCCGATAAAGTCAAAGCGGCCAAATTAAGAAATTTAATTGGTCCTGAAGGTCGAGAAAGAATTGAAGCTCTAGGTCTACAAACGTCTGAAGACTATAGTGAACTGATATCGAAACTAGATGCTTGGGCGGAACCTCAGAAAAATATCACAATGGAACGAGCTAAGTTCAGCTCTCGAAACCAAAATCCGAATGAAAGTTTCGACGAATACGTGTCTGATCTAAAACGTCTGATCTCCACGTGTGAATATGGTACTCTCAAAGATGAGATTCTAAAAGACCGAATTGTCTTGGGAGTAGCGGATGTTAAGTTAAAAGAACATCTTCTCCGAATCTCTGATCTCACCCTAGAAAAAGCAGAGAAGTTAGCACATGCGGTTGAAACTGCTAAAGCAAGCATAGCGGTGATGTCATCATCCGAGCAACATGAAGCAAACCATGAAGTGAATCCAGTCCAAAAATTCAGAGGTCGTGGTCGCGGGCGAGGAAATTCTCAAAGGTCATCCAACTCGCAGCGTGGTCAAAGCAGAAGCAACCAGCCAAATGGACAGTATCAACAACAAAGATCTCAATACTCTCAATCACGTAGTGGAAACCGAGGTGACTATAACGGAAATTTCAGAGGTAAACAGTCTAATTATTGTGATAGGAATAATAACTATTATTGTAAAAAGTGCGCAACAAAGCATGGGCCGAGACAATGTCCAGCCCATAATAAAGAATGTGGAAGGTGTTTCAATCTACATCATTTTGCAAGGTGTTGTAGGGCTAATAATGTAAATGAAGTTAACGTAGAAGAAAATAATAACGATGTTGTTAAGCGAGCAGTCGAATCCGTTGTTTACAGAGAATGTCATGAGCTAGTAGCGTACAGCCCAAAAGCAAGTTTTTATGAAGCCAGGGTAATAAATGGTGACAAAGCAGATAAATGTCTTGAAACTGCCACTAAGAATTTAGAAATTGGAAAGCCAGCTGAAAATGCTAATGAGAGTCAGGTAAATGTCCTTGATGTCCAAGATCACCCAAATGTCAGTAGCGTTGGTGAACAGAAAAAGCCAAGAAAGGAATGGAGAGAGACAATATTCCTTGAAAACGTTCCGGTTAGTATGAAACTGGACCCGGGGAGTGAAGTAAACACTCTACCAGAAAGTATTTTTAAAGCTATTTTAAAGAAAACTAAAATTCCACTGGAAAAGACAAACGAAATATTAGGTGGAATAGGTCACGGTGTAGCTAGACCTCTAGGTATTGTAAGAAAGGTGCATTGTAAAACAAGTTTTGATGTGCGAGGATATTTTGATTTCTATGTCACAAAAGATAGTGACACTAAAGCATTATTAGGTATTGAAGCGTGTGAACGCCTTGAATTAGTAATAAGAAGGGTGCACTCTGTTAGCACTAATGCAGAACAAGCAGCTTTTGTTGAGAAAAATAGAGATGTTTTTACTGGTAGCGGCAAAGTTCCAGGTTTAGTTAGTTTTCAGGTAAAACCGAATCCTGATTTTAAAATTTTACCTCCGAGGCGGTATCCGATTGACACAAGTGAAAAACTGTTGAATAAATTAAATAAATTGGAGAAGCAAGAAATAGTTTTAAAAATTCCAATAAATGAAGAACTGTTATGTGTCAGTAATATATTAGTCCGTGAAAAACCGGATGGTGATTTACGGTTATGTCTTGATCCAAAAAATTTAAATGAGTGCCTCATAACAAGAAAATGTGCTATCCCTACTGTTGATGAAATCAGTGCAAAGCTGTCAGGTAAAAAATGGTTCACAGTGTTTGATGAAAAAGAAGCGTTTTATCATTTTGAACTGGATGAATACTCAAGTCGTTTGTGTGCATTTAACACGCCTTTTGGAGTTTATAGATTTTTACGTATGCCTTTTGGGATAATCTGTGCAGCAGAGTGTTGCCATGAAAGAAATGTAACTATTTTTGGAGGAATCAAAGGTGTGACAGTGTACATCGATGATATCCTCGTAGCTAATGACACTGAAAAAGAACACGATGAAAGCATCAATCTGGTAATAATTCAGGCCAGAAAACATAATGTTAAATTTAAGTTGTCAAAACTTCAATACAAACAAAGGTTTGCGCATTTCACTGGGTTTATTTTTTCGGAAAAAGGAAGGCAAATTGACCCGGAAAGAACGAGAGCGTTAACTGCGATTGCAGACCCCAAAAATAAAAAAGAACTAATGTCAATAATGGGGATGTTGAACTATGTAAGACAGTTTTTGCCTAATCTAAGTAATGAATCAGCTCCTTTACGTGAGTTACTTAAAAAAGATGTAGAATTTTTGTGGACCCCGTATCACTCTGAAGTGTTAGCAAAATTAAAAAAGAGAGTTGCTGAAGCACCTATTTTAAGTAATTTCGATTCGTCTCAAGAAATAGTGTTACAATCTGATGCGTCAAAATCAGGAATTGGAGCATGTTTGATGCAGTTAGGTAGACCAGTTGCCTATTTTTCTAAGGCTCTGACAGAAACACAAACCAACATCTGGGGTCAAATCGACAAGGAATTTTATGCAATAATTGCAGCGCTTGAAAAATTCTACCAATTTACTTATGGTAGAGATGTAACTGTTGAATGTGATCATAAACCTATTTCTTATTTGGTTCATAAGGACATATGTAAAATTAAATCTCAAAGATTGAAGAAATTCAGACAAAGGTTGTATAATTTCAAAGTTAAGATAATATTTAAGCCAGGTCGAAAAATGTACATAGCTGATCTGTTGTCTAGGCAATATTTGCAGGATGTAGCGGAAGACGATCCAGAAGAAATGGAGTATGTCCATTCCGTCCTAACTGAAGGAAAAGGTAGTTTAAGTGATTTAGAAGAGTTGAAGCGAGAAACAGAAAATGACCCAACTCTACAAATTTTAAAAGAATACCTACTCAATGGTTGGCCTAATAATAAAAGTGTTTGGCCAGATAATGTAAAACCATTTTGGAAAATTAAAGAATTTTTGTATCTAGAAGATGGAGTAATTTTTAACGATGAGAGAATTGTGGTTCCAAAAGCAATGAAAGAAAAATGTCTTACGCTGTTGCATTTAGGTCATTTTGGTATTTCAAAAACTATTGCGAAAGCCACTGAATTGTATTATTGGCCAGGTATGAATTCTGATGTAACGAATTTCGTAAAAAATTGTCCGATTTGTGAAAAATTTTCAATGAACAATCGTAATGAACCCTTGATGCCCATCGAATTACCAAAGAATGTATTTGAAGTTTTAGGTATTGATTTTGCTGAGTTAAATGGGGAGAGTTTCCTTATTTTAGTGGATTATCTGTCTAAATGGTTAGAAATAACAAAAGTCCCATCTCACCATGCTAGAACGGTGATTAATGCTGTAAAACCAATCTTTGCAACGCATGGTTATCCTAAAGAAATTATTTGTGATAATGTCCCTTTCGGAGCCAGAGAATTTAAAAATTTCATTGAAGAACATAAGGGTAAGGTCCTAACAACCAGCCCAAATTTTCCTCAAGCACATGGAATGATTGAAATTTATGTAAAAATAGCCAAAGGAATGATAAAGAAAAGCAAAGAGTCTAAGGTTGATCTTGATGAAATGCTGTTAGAATATAGAAACATGCCTTTGACAGGTATGAAAGTCAGTCCAGCTCAAATTTTAATGAGTCGTCAGTTGAGAAGCAAGTTACCTGTTAATCCTAATCAGTTAAAACCTAAAGTAGTGAATGCAAGAGAAAAGTTTCTTGAAAAGCAAGCTAAAGTTAAAGAACAGTTTGATAAATCTGCTACACGATCTGAAACTGAGTTTAAGGCGGGTGACAATGTTGCTGTTCGAAAAGATAAAATCTGGATTAAAGGAATAATTGTAGGTCCAGCAGGTACCCCTCGTTCGTATATTGTTCAAACAGCTCATGGTAATTTGCGTAGAAATACTTTTCATTTAAAAAAATCTCAAACTGAACGTTTCAATCCACTTTTGCAACAGAATGACAACTATGATTTTCTGGAGGCAGAATTAAATGATAATACCCAGTTACATAATGTAATTGAACCTGATAATAATGTAACCCCAAATGCACAAGTTGTTAATAATGCCCTGCCTAACGGTCAAGCGCAAAATAATGAACCTGAAAATGTAATTCCACGTAGAATTAGACGTGTCCCTCAGTGGCACAAAGATTATGTTATGTAAAACTTAGAGTAAATTCTGTTTTGTAACCCTCTCAAATGTAATCTGTGAATTGTACTAAAATTTTAAAAAAAAAAAGAAAATTTCTCAAAAAGGGAGATGTAAAGTAAGATTTAAATTTTTTTTTCTCAAAAAGGGAGATGTTGTAATGTTAGAAAGTATCATATAGATATGGCAACCATGGATCATGTGACCAGGTCAAACCCCACTCCTCACTCACACTCATACAAGATGTCCGACCATGCAAGTTCTTGAATAAACAGGTGTATTCTCGTAAATGTCTTTATTTTATGTTTCATCAAAAGTCCTTTAAAAATCAAGATAAAACATTTGCATTTATATAGAGTCAATTTCTTTTCAATAATATAACGGGATTTATAATACCGATTATTTGGGTATTTTAGCCCCCAAATACCTTTAAATGGACTTTATCTTTTAGGAGTTCGACAGAATGTTTCCTATCTTCGCTTAAATTATTTTGTAGCACTTTTCTTCAAGAATCTTATGAGATTTTGCTGATAAAACTCGTTCGAATGGCTTTCTACATTCACAATACTCGGTCTCGTCAAGGTGCGTCGTTGACCTCGCAGTGTTGGATCGTGAATTCTCTTGTTGTGCTGCTTGCTTATTTTAAAATCTCTGTAAATGAAGACTAAAGGGGTTGATATGTGCGAGTTAATGACGCGCCTTATCAACACATTGTGTTGGAGTTCAATGCCTTGTTTTTTTTTGTGGGGGGGCATGGGAGGACAATTTCTCGGGTTGTGGAGAGCACAGTTTTCGTCCGAGAGGGAGACATATTTTCTATGGGTGGCGGGAGGAATTTTTCCTGGGGTGGTGGAGGGGAGGAGAATTCTCTTAAAGAAAAAGAAAATGTTCCTGGTTGGGGGGGGGGATATTTCCCAAAAAGCCAAAAAAAACCCCCCCCCCATTTCAAAGTTGAGGAGTAGCTCCTTAGAAAAACCCTCGCATGGTACCACTGAGGAAATGAGAAAAAGGCTTGTAGTACCGATCCCCCCTGCCCTCCAACAATAAAAAATCAATACCTACTACCCTCCCTTTTACTTCTAGAACCCAAGGAATTTCCTGACATTATATTATACATAGATTATAAATATAATACAGGGTGTACCAAAAGTCCGTCCCACCCCTGCTAACTTTTGAACGAATTGAGCTAGGGTAATGAAACTTTGGGAATGTTCCTATCTCAAAAGGGACCATCTTTTAAGGGGGTCAAAAGCTTGGTCCCCCCTCAGGGGGGGGGCGCGGGGGGCCCCCAACTTTTTTTTCAAAAGGCAACCCCTATCTTGTGATACATCATTCGAAAGAAAATAAAAAACTAAGAATTTTGGGGCAAACCGCAGATCAATATCTTAATTTTTGACCGAGGTATGATAGGTCAAAAGTCAAATTTGACCCATTTTCAAAAAATCATATTTCCTGTTCAAATTATCGTAAAGAAAAAAATAAAACGGGAAAATTTACCAAAGTGTGTCCGCTTTTAAGTAAAAATTGCAGAAATCACTTCGATTTAATTTTAAGGGGGGGCTCGGACCCCCAAATACGTCAATTCAAAGGTCATTCAATTTTCCCGCGAAAGAAGCAAATTTCCCCTAGATTTGCACACATCATCTCAGTAAAGTCAAAATCAGTTCAACATTACGTTGGAAGTCCCCAAATTTCGGGAAAAGTTAAAAAAAAACGAAATTTAAGGTCATTAAATTTGACCGTTTAAATTTCGTTTTTTTTTAACTTGGGGCTTGCCAACGTAATGTTGAACTGATTTTGACCTAACTGAGATAATGTGGAGGCAAATCTGGGGGAAATTGCCTTTTTTCGCGGGAAAATTGAATGACCTTTGAATTGACGCATTTGGGGGTCCGAGCCCCCCCCCCCCCTTAAAATTACATCGAAGTGATTTCTGCAATTTTTACTTAAAAGCGGACACAATTTGGTGAATTTTCCCGTTTTATTTTTTTTTCTTTACGATAATTTGAACAGGAAATATGATTTTTTGAAAATGGGTCAAATTTGACCTTTGACCTATCATACCTCGGTCAAAAATTAAGATATTGATCTGCGGTTTGCCCCAAAATTCTTAGTTTTTTATGTTCTTTCGAATGATGTATCACAAGATAGGGGTTGCCATTTGAAAAAAAAAGTTGGGGGCCCCCCGCGCCCCCCCTGAGGGGGGACCAAACTTTTGACCCCCCTAAAAGATGGTCCCCTTTGAGGTAGGAACATTTCCAAAGTTTCATTACCCTAGCTCAATTCGTTCAAAAGTTAGCAGGGGTGGGACGGACTTTTGGTACACCCTGTATATATTTTTAATTAGTTTTTTACAACTATAATATATATGTATTTTAAAATGTATATTATACATATATTGTACATATAATATACATAAATTATACATACAGGGTGATCCAAAAGTCCCTTCCACCCCCTCTAACTTTTTACCTAATTGAGGTAAAGATTTGAAACTTGGTGGATATTCCTAGGTTAAAGGGAGCTACTTTTTGGCCCCCCTAAAATGTTCAGGGGGGCCCCCCTTGGGAAGACAACGGCCCCCAACTTTTAATTTTCAAATGGGAAGACCCCCTTTGTGGTAGCTCGTTCGAAAGAGCATAAAAAAAGAAAACTTTTCGCGCAAACCCGAAGTCAATATCTCAAACCGTTTCAAAATGGCGGCCGGTTAAAGTTCAAAATGGCCGAAATTTCACACCGGTTATTTGTCGATGGATTTGCGCAAAAATCGGTATGTAGGGATATTTTGACACGAGAAAAACGAATTTGACGTTAGATTTTCAAAAAAACCGAAATTTCGAAAATGGCGGCCGGTTAAAGTTCAAAATGACCAAAAAATTGATTTTTTTAAATTCTAAGTTCAAGTTTGCTTATCTTATGCCAAAATACTCTCAAATTCCAAGTTTTAGGCAAATCCATCAGTAAAAAACCGAGGTGACAATTTTCGGCCATTTTAAACTTTAACCGGCGGCCATTTTGGAAATTTCGGTATTTTTGAAAATCTAACGTCAAATTCATTTTTCTCGTGTCAAAATACCCCTATATACCGATTTTTGCGCAAATTCATCGACAAATAACCGGTGTGAATTTTCGGCCATTTTGAACTTTAACCGGCCGCCATTTTGAAACGGTTTGAGATACTGACTTCGGGTTTGCGCGAAAAGTTTTCTTTTTTTATGCTCTTTCGAACAAGCTATCACAAAGGGGGTCTTCCCATTTGAAAATTAAAAGTTGGGGGCCGTTGTCCCCCCAAGGGGGGCCCCCCTGAAAATTTTAGGGGGGCCAAAAAGTAGCTCCCTTTGACCTAGGAATATCCCCCAAGTTTCAAATCTTTACCTCAATTAGGTAAAAAGTTAGAGGGGGTGGAAGGGACTTTTGGATCACCCTGTATAATATAGATTGGCCTTTTCAACCCTCAGCTCAAAATATATAGCACATATTTTATACGTATAAAATTTATATATTAAACATATATTATAGAATGCTCTGAATGTCTTAAAAATATAATAACTAACTAACCATATTATATGTATTAAATTTTATATATGCTACTAGGGGATCCAAGAGAAGCGTAAGGACAGAGTCGATTCTTAAAATTTGGCATCAGAGGACGGAAATAGAAGAAAAAAATTAGATGGACGCTTGCAGTTGGTGATTTTTCATGATGAAATTTACTCAAAATGCAAAGTAGATGCTCAAGATTTCAAAAAAATTTCGGGGGGTTGCCCTCCGGGCCCCCTTTGCGGCCCCCTCTGTTTGAAATATCTGGATCTTCCTATGCTACTATTATTTTAGGATTCTAAAGGCAAGTTGAAAGCATGAAGAGTCCCTCATCGGCTAAGAGTTCAATGACGAGAAGTGACTCATGTTCTTCCACCAGTATGATGCTATTGTTATTTTCCACAGACACTTTACATCATTTCCCGCACGTCATATCTATACAACTGCAAATCCGCATCAAAAGATTTTGGACTTTTGGACCCTTTTATCGATAGCCAGAGCATGAAGCCACCTCTCTCCGTTGTGATGTTTCAAAAGGAGGGGTATCGATGAGGGCCTTTTTTGCCCCCCCCCCACCCCCCGTAGAATCTGGGTATTTATGCGGGTTCTCCAAGTTGACGCAATGTAGTTTACGAAAACAATCATGCTTTAGTCCATAGGCCACTGGATACGTGTTAAACGCTTGCCTAAACATAGGTTTGCGGGCGTATTTTAGCGAAACTTCGTGTTTTTCTATCACTCCGAGGCTTTTTTGAAACCGAGCGCATCATCTATAACTAAAACGAGCTTTTGATATGTTATTAAGAGGGCTTTAGGACACATTTTAACCCTAGTTTGGTTTTAGTCAAACGATGCGCTCATATTTAAAAAAAGCTTTTTCAAAGGTCGTCTTTTAAGGGACATCCGCATAAATCGCAGGGAAACACATCTCTCGAACTGTGTGCACGCTACCAGGGGTGGATTTCCCACAAGGCAGACCTAGACAGCTGCCTAGGGGCGCGAAGTTTTGAGGGGCGCAAAATTTTGAGACACGTGCATGCTTTTTTAAGGGTTGTAGAATTGAAATCGGTAAAAAAATTTAAGGACGAAGATAGGGGCGCGCGAAAAGAAGAATATCTGTAAATCTATCCTTGTCTACTGATAAGGTCCGCGCCCCCTCTGCATTGCGTGTCTCGTCTCGATGTCACGCCTTCGTTTTTTACTTTTTTCAAATTTTTGTCGCCTTTGTTTAATTTTGCTACGTTTTAATTCCCTATACCTTTTGATAAGTATGATAGCACAAGAGGCTTTTGAGCCACCAAATTTTTCTCTGAAATAACCAAAAAGTAGCTTTATATTGCGTTAATTAAATACCCGATTTTAAAAAATTTCCGGGGAAGGATCCCCGGCCCCCGCCACCAAGCAGTGGAAGCGTGTTGGGCCCATAACCCGTAGATATGCAGGGAAAAATAAGGGATCAACGAAATAAGAACACT